GACGCCTAGTTTGGTTTATGGGTTTTTCGGTCAATTGATGTTGGCAAAAATAAAACTTTACTTATTATCAGCACGGTCACTAATTAAGCACAACACTTTAAATAATATCGCACTCAAACGTCCATAAAAACTTACATTGTGGTAGCAGTGGCTTCGAGATGTAAGGAAATCAGCAGATCATAAAATCCTTGCCTCAGCGGCCCGCTCATGTACTCAGACTTAATGGCATACAACAACTGCTTCTGATCCACATGATTGCAAAGCACATGGGCCGCCTTGTAGTTACTTTGATAGCAGAGCGCTGAATACAAGGTCAGCGTGTGAGCATGAAAGCTGAGCAATTTGTCCATTTCAATCAGCTCTAAAATATCGATACATCGATCCTCTTCGGGTATGTGCAGTGCCAGCATGGAAATCGGATCTTCACAGAGCATCGACCAGCCCCGAATATCGGACAATTTAAGTGCATGAACTTGAAGATTCTGGTTTGGTACCTATGGAGTAAACTGGATTATTGGTTGTTTGAAACTAGAGAAGAGAGGATACTTACACGAGCCCATTGATGCGGCTTGAGGCACTGAACTTTTAACCTCGGTGGAAATTGCGGAATTACATGCTTGGCACTGTTCTGAAGCACTGCTGCAGATAAGGGAAGACTGGTCGATGTTCTGCCCAACTCGATTTGCATTATTTCCTTACTGGTGGCTTCCACAAAGATAGCGGGGAAGAGTTTTGTTTCTGGTTCCATCTGAAATATACCCGTACAGTGTGTTGGAGTTAACACTAAAACGTTGCTATACTTTGAACTTATGAGAAGTCGGTTTTCCATCACAAGTAAAGCTAATGTAGCCAGTGGCAGCATCCAGGAAACATCCAATAGACATTCCCTGGGACGCTCCTTTTCCTGAAGCGTCCTGTGTAACTTGATTATAAAGCTCATCAGCTCTTACCATATAACACGATTGTCTTTCAATGCTATAAAAAATCGAATGCCCATTTAGAAATAAGTTTTTGTTTCACCCTCACAACTCCATTTAAACCCGCGCTCTATCTTGGCTATTAGCACTAAGAGTGCGCACTTAATTTTGTACGCTTTTTATAAAATAAAATTCCAAAGATCAGTAATATTTTAGTCATAAACCCAATTCGATTATTGGCACTTGCCTATCAACTATCCTGTCGTAGTCATCTGCAATCACGACCGAGGACTTCAAAACATGATTCTGGTTGAACTCTTTGCTGTAAAAGTGATATTGGGTCGTGACCCATCCAACATAAGTATGAGTGGGATCTTGGCCAGGAAATATTCTCACTCCGTAGAAATATTCGTTAACAAGTTTCAAACATTCCGCATCGTATATCTCGTTGCCCACCGATTCAACATCTGAAGCTTGAGGAACGGATAACTGTTTCTGTTGTGGAACTGAACCAGCCTGAAGATTGTCGCCCTAAAGAAATTGAACTGTGCAAATCTAGATTTTTGTTAGGATTTGTAATTTTGGACAGACCTGCTGCTGTTTCATTGTGGGGCTACGAGAGAGCATGGTATTGGACAGTCCGACTGATCGGGCGGTTGGGGACATTCCACCTCCGATTCGAACAGAATGAGCTTCGGGTGTTCGAGTCTTTTTTGACTTGGTTCGTTCAGCACTAGCGGTATCTCCCCGTTTCTTGGAGAAAAACCTAATAGCGTTTAACCCATGGTGAAAAAAGCACAAACACCAGCAATTAACGTGCAAATCATCACCTGAATGGGGACCGCCCTCTCTTTTTCTTGTCCTCAGGTTTCTCCGTAATTTGTCGCGAAGTATCGTAGTATCGATTCATGTCCAACTCGCTTGTAGATCTATGTACGCCCCTGGACCCGTTTATTTGCGTATCTAGGCAGTTAAAAATTATGGAATTAAAAGAGAGTTTTTGTTGTTAAACTGGTTTCTGAATTTTCGGTAACTGCTGCAAAAAAAACAGAAGAAAGTCACTTTTGTTAACTCCAAAATTCGCTAAAAATCGATGTAGTGAGAATTTAACAATCCCACTACATTTTATGGTCCTTCGAGCCTGATGGCTCCTCAGAACTCAATTTGGATCTACAGAAAACTACACGAACTGTGAAGAAGAACGTATGTTCAGCCCCCCGGACGTTCTAAAGATATTTTCGATTGTTACTCACAACTGTCTTCAAATCCATTTGCGCTGGGATTCGTTCTTGACAGAGATCCTTTGCGAGGAGGTCGAGCTGGCATCGTTTTTCCCATTCTGGATAAAATTTGCTGTTGCACTTGCTGCTGCGCCTGGTGCTTCATTACTTCATTCAGATCAGATTCAACTGCGTCTTCTGAATAGTTTCTGTGCAAACCTGTTCAAAAGTGTTTAGTAAATCTTGGCAGTTTGCCCTTATTTC